TTCAATTTTTCTCTACTCCATTTGTAGGTGATTATTCTTCAAGTCATGGAGAGAGGCAATCACACAGTGACTCAATTCATGTTGTTGGGCTTCACAACAGATCCAGTGATGCAGCTGATTCTGTTTGTAGTGTTCCTTGGTGTGTATTCTGTGACGTTGTTGGGAAATACCACCCTGATATTGTTGATATGTACTGATTCCCGGCTCCACACACCCATGTATTTCTTCATTGGAAATCTGTCTTTTCTGGATCTCTGGTATTCCTCTGTCTACACCCCGAAGATTCTAATGACCTGTATCTCTGAAGACAAAAGCATCTCCTTTGCTGGTTGCCTGGCCCAGTTCTTCTTCTCTGCTGGACTGGGCTATAGTGAGTGTTATCTGCTGGCCACCATGGCTTATGACCGCTATGTGGCCATTTCCAACCCCTTGCTTTATGCTCAAGCCATGTCAAGGAGCTCGTGCATATGTTTGGTTATATTTTCCTATACTGGTGGTTTTGTCAATGCAATCATACTAACCAGCAACACATTCACATTGGATTTTTGTGGTGACAACGTCATTGATGACTTTTTCTGTGATGTCCCACCCCTGGTGAAGTTGGCATGTGATGTGAAGGAGAGCTACCAGGCTGTGCTGTACTTCCTTCTGGCCTCCAATGTCATTACCCCCACTGTGCTCATACTGGCCTCCTATGTTTTCATCATCGCTGCCATCTCAAGGATCCGCTCCACACAGGGTCGCCTCAAAGCCTTCTCCACATGCTCTTCTCACTTGATCTCTGTTACCTTATACTATGGTTCTGTTCTCTACATCTACTCTCGGCCAAGTTCCAGCTATTCCCTTGAGAGAGACAAAATGATTTCTACCTTTTATACTGTGTTGTTTCCCATGTTGAATCCCATGATCTATAGTCTGAGGAATAAAGATGTGAAAGAATCTCTGAAAAAACTCCTCAAGTTGTTCCAACTCACAGTGTAATTCAATAAATTTGTCAAATTACTGCTAATTGATAACAATCTGCTTCAGGGAAGGTTGACAAACTGGACTTAAAAAAATAATAAAACCTTTTTTTTTTTTCTATTAAGAAATATTTAATAGGGATGGGCCGGCGGGTGGCATGGTGATTAAGGTGCAAGTACTCCCGCATGGCTGCCCAGGTTCTATTCCTGGACCTAACGACTTGCTTTCTCATTTTCCCTCTTTCTCTCTTTGTTTCAATTAGAAAATAGTAATAGTGGGTGAAGTTAAGTGAATAATTCTTTAAAACACATTCAATAAGGAAAATTTTGTTTCTTTGTATTACAGTAATTCTTTATTGATTGTACTATAATATACATTATATAATGTAGAATTATAGATTCAATTGAGCATCCATATAGTATGTTTAAAAACTATCTGGGTTTAATATAAAACATGAAAGCATGTAATATTTCTAATATTCTGAAGAATTCATTTTTTCCCATTCTATTTCCTAACATTGCCCCAATTTTTCCCCTATACAACATGTGATAATAATAATTATGAGGATATGAAGAAAACATAATGTGGATCATAAACATTTTGAGAATATACCCCAAAACCCTCTAGTTAAATAGTAACAGAGCTTTTTCCAGTGACAGAAGAATAAAAAAATGCTAAGATGTGTACTTTATTTTAGACTATGTGCACACAAATGAGGGACAGAGATGAGTACTCTCATTCCACAGAAACTGGTTATGCCACAAATTCTTTCTTTTGGACCTGGTGGATATCGGGCAATTATGCATATATACAGCATGGTTCTGATTCACCTCACCAAGGGTTAAAACCTGGGTAACGCTGTGGGATCCAGTTTCTCATGAGCAGTGTATTACTACCACACTATGGAGCCAATTCAATGAATAAGTTTTTTGATAAAGAGGCACAGATACGTTGGAAAGTTAGTGCAGATAAAAAAGAAAAAGAAATGAGAAATATCCAAGCTAATACAGTGAAGCAACTACTACTATTTGTGTTAATTTTAATAAAATTTAAATCAATTTTGTAAGCATGGTCACTCCAGCAATCATTATAATTTGTTAAAAATCCAGTCCTAATCTCTGGGCTACAAGTTCCACATTTATAAAATGAACATAATAATACTTAGCTTTGAGTTTATAAATGGTCTTGAATAAAATAACTAAACTTGCCAGGCCCTTAATGTGTGGTATAAGCTCTTTTTCATAATTAAAACCTTGTAGTAGAAAACAGCAAGCATGGGACCAGCAGATGGTGTAATTGTTAAGTCACTGGACTCACACATAGTTGACCATGGTTTGAGTTCTGGACCCAGTGGCTTAAAACTCTCAATGGTACTTGTGTGTACATTTCCAAAAACCTGAAAGGAAAATGGAGAAGAGATTGTGACTTGGTTAACCTCTGTGGGGAATGATTTCTTGCTTTTTGTGTCTATGCATCTTTCTGTCTCTTCTACAAGTGCACATGCCCTATAGAAAAATCTCTCTAAAACAAAGTAAGAAGAGAAAGATAGAAAAGAGAAAGAAAGAAAAAGAAAAGAAGAAAGAAGGAAAGGAGAAAGAGAAAAAGAAAGAGAGAAAGAAAGAAAGAAAGAAAGAAAGAAAGAAAGAAAGAAAGAAAGAAAGAAAGAAAGAAAGAAAAAGAGAAAAAAAGAAAAAGAGAGAAAGAAAACTACAGACATTAGATCTGGAGTATGGTCCTAGTCTTCTGAACCCGCAGCTTAACTCTCTCCAAAAGTACTAGCTGGGGAATTCTGCAAAGGACTGACCCAAACAATCCCAAAGTGAGGTCTGTTTGTAATCCAAGAAAGAAGCACTAAATGCAGATTTCTCCAACAATTCTGAGATGAACTCTTTTCATATTCCAGGAAACACAAAGCACTTATTAAGGAAACATCCATGGGGATATGAGGAGTCCAGCAATATGAAGTTGCAAAAGACAGCAAGATAGGGACCAGTAGTTGGCATAATGGCTGTGCTGCTGGACTCCCATATAGTTGATAGCAGTTCAAGTCCCAGACCTGGTAGCTTAAACTCAAGCCTGGCGCATGTGCATGCGTGCCCAAGATCCCAGGAGGAGAATTGAAGAGAAGGGATTGCAGCGTGGCCATCCCTTGGAAATGATTTCTATCTGTATGTCTCTGTCTTACTGGCGAGCACATGCACACTATACCAAAAATCTCCAAAGAAAAGGACAGCAAGACAATGATGTTAAATATATGTATACTCCCTGCAAGAGGATTGTGTTATGGAGCTTTTATGAAGGTTTAAGAAGTTATGCTCAAGGCAGGAATGAATTTCTTATGAATTTCTTTTTTATGTATATTTATATATTTCTTATTATTCATACATTAAATTGCTATACATCATTTAGATTGTGAAGAGACGTTACCCAGCATGAAAGAATTTCTACCTGCTTAGCAACATGTTTAATCTTTTAGCATTTTGAGCAACAACCAAAACAAGTTTTTCAGTGCCTAGGAATGATCAAGAACACAGCTTGGGATCAACTACAGGGAAACAAGCAACTGGTCAGGTCACAAAGCAGTTAAGGCACTCTGTGTTTTCCATCAGTACAAAGTAAAAGCAGAGACAATGAGGGAACACACAGATGGGTGTGTTCAAATTGCTTGATAAATGTTATTTTTCTTAATTGGGGTACGTTGTTGTGTGACCTAGAAAGAGCACTATGGAGTGAAAGAGAACACTCTATTAGGACAAAACGCAATCCTACAGACACATATGTCCACAAGAATTTAGAAATGGTTTTGTTGCTGATTATTTCTTTGATTTTCTGTGATCAAAACAACCAATACTTTGTCTAAAATTACATTGATATGAATGTATTTGATTTACTAATCTCTTTATAAAGAATATAGAAGGAATTTCTTACCAAAAATAAATATTTATAAAATACTGAGCAAATATCCAATAGTCTCATTCTAAATCTTTTCCTCACTCAATAAATATTACTCTCCAAGCTTCTCCTTGGAAACTCTCAAATACAACCAACTGAGCACTTAAAAAAATTATAATACTTAAAATGACCTAATATTATCACTTCAAAGTAGTTTACATCAAAGCAAAATATTAATAATTACAGGAATTCTTTGATAACTTGTTCTGTAGTCTTCTCTGTCATCAAGGACTTTCTGAAATGCTTAAGCATATATTTCAATGGGGTTTTAATCAAACTATTTTGTCCACCTATAGTATAAAAACAACTCCGGAGTTCAGGAAGGCAGGTATGGCTTCTGAGCATGTGCCTGCTCCCTGCAGCAATTTAAGTTGCTCAGACCTGCCTGAGCTGCTACAGCTTACAATTGCATGCAGAGCCAGGTGGTGCAAGCAGAGCTCAGTGATGCAGTGATGCATGCTCAGTTGTGTGACCCCATGAGTCCCAGTGTGCTCCGCCAGCCTCACGTACACACTCCAGGTGAGTTATGCTGGGCTTCTTGCAAGTTAAAAACACCACAATGCAATGAAAACCCCAACACTTCTCAAGTAAATCAAATCTAAGAGATATCTCTGGAACGAACTCCAGTTGCTATGGGCCACTGATATCAGTACAGGACAAACAAAAGGACTAGTACAATGGGAAACACCATGACAAGAAGTTCAGAGTCTGCAACCCTAGCAACTATTAGTATGACGTCCAAGATCCCCTGGGGGTTTATTCAATCTCTTGCCAGTCTGGAGGAAAGGGCTGTGAGTGCACATGAGTGAGTGCACTAAGAGGGCTAATTCTGTTGGGAATGGGGATGTGCCATGAAACTGCCTCCGCAAAGATTTTGAATTGTCTAAGGCTTTTAACTCTCAGGTGGTATGTCTAGAGCCTGAAGCCAGACTGATGAGACACTGAAACTGAGGTCAAAAAGAGTTCAGGGGCCAGAAGAAACTATATGGGCTTCTGATCTTAATATTTCTCTATGGGAGTTGTCTTAAAATAGGCTTTCTTGCACACTTCTGGCAAGGGTGTAAATAGTACTCCCTACCTTTGAATCCCTAAAGCATTCACACTGTTCCCAGAGAAAGGACAGAGGTATTTAACTTGAGAGAAAAGTAGGTGGACTAACAAGAAGAGGGTGGGTCTCCTTTCAAAATATTCTCTAACTCAGTGATGCTACTTCTGAGTGACAGACAAAAAGAGGGGGAGATGAGAAAAGAAATGAATGATAATAGGGAGTCAGTGTTTTGGACCTAACCAAGAGAGGGGTAGATCTTCTGAAAAAACAGACCAAGAGTACTGACATAAGAGGCAGTCTTCTGACCTGTGAGAGAAATGAGTTTAGCCTTAGTGTCCTCCTTCGGGGATGTTTTCTCGCTTGCTTCAGAAAAAAAGTGCCCAGTATGTGAGGACACGAGGACTTTCCTGACATACAAGAGAATCAAGTATTCCCATGTTTTTCTCCCTGCAATGATGCTGCAAGTCAAACAAAGGGTGGGGTCTCTCCTCCGAAGAGGTGATAAAATAGGTACGTGCCTGACTGCATCCCTCATGGAAACGTTGGTGCCCCTCACTATTGGCTGTCGGGTATAAACACCTGGTAGGACTGGGCACACAAGGAGGGATGGAATACCTTAGTGCCCAAGGCAGGCCTAAACAGTATGAGGCTGCCATGGAACCTCAGATGAGGACCCACTCAGACTCTGTGGCCAAAGCCATGAGTCATGAACACAGTCACATGGTCACTCATTCACCATTGAAACAAGAAGTAACAAGACATTCCCTCTCACCAAGAATTATTCCTTAAAGTGACAGTAGTGACAGAATGGACTCATAAAGTGAAATACACAATGGTTAGGAGGGACTCAAACCCCCAATCTAGTGAAATGCAAGATTCCTAAGGGCTAAGACAGACTTGAACCCTCAATCTAGCAACTTAGACTATAAGACATCTACCTAAGGAGGGACTTAAAGCCCTGATCTAGGAACCCAGATTGTCAGACACTGTCTAAGGAAGGATTCAAACCGCAAGTCTA